TGTATAATATACGTATTTCGAAATCGTTAAAATCTCCAATAATAAGTACTTGAATTTTAAATATATACCGGGTGATCCATTTAACCTAAGACGCTCATGATATAAAAACTATTCAGTTTTTTGAAAATATTTTTATTTGTATAATTTTTAAAGAAACAATATTTTCACAATTTTTTATTGCTATTGCATTTTTAAATTGTTTACTTTATATAATGACAACGTGCATTTTTTAAATCCTTATTTTAAAGTAGAATATTTTTTGGAGTATTTGAATATATACAAATTTAATTTTGGATGAGTATAGTTATAACTAAACCTATAATTAGAATAAGTATTTAAAGATAAGTGATGTGGAGCATGGTACTGGGGTAGTCTCAAAATGTTGGTTCACTACTCTACTCATTTGAACTTTAAATACTTATAATAAATAAATAACTTGTTAGAATTTTAATTTTTATAGATTGAAATACTCTGAATAATATTCTGCTTGGGAATATGAAATTTAAGTTGTAAGTTGTTATTCAAAAGAGTTAAGACACTTTAAAAAAATAATAAAAGTATAATTTTTTCCAAAAATATTGTTTTGTTATTAGAATCATGGGAATAATATATTTTTAAAAAATTTAATGATTTCTGAAATAAAGAGTGCCTGAGTGCCTAACGTAAAATATATCACCCTATACATCAATATTACTGAACTCCCTAGCTCCCTTCAAACGATTCGTTTTTAATATACGTGGTATATATAAACCGTAGTATTGTTATTTTTGTTTGGTCGACAGCAGTGAAGGTAAACTTAAATTATTGTAATATTTTGGGAGACGTTAACGCACGAGAACGTTAAGTAAAAAAAATATTCTATAGGATTTATGTGGGCGGATCGCGTGGATTATGAATCGAACGTTCTTTGCTAAGTTGCAGGAAAATACAATTTTTCGGTTAATATTCGCTGTCGTATAATTTTCTTAGGTATACCAAAAAAATCACACAAAGCGAGCATACAACAGAAAAAGTCCATGCCACAAGCCGTAGATATATATTTTATCGTGTAAAATTACGACATTTATACCAGTATAGTGGTTAATTTAAGGGAATGCGAAGTAGGATGATCGAACTCTATATTTTTAACATAGATATATTATTGGGCTGGATACAACTTTTTTTCTAACCGAATTTCGTAAGTCGTAACATTTTATTTATTGTGACAGAAACATAATCAACCAAAAAAACAAAATAAAATTAATTTAATTCCCAACAAAATATAGCATGTTACTAGAAATTTTTCAACTGTATAATACACCCTAAAACATATGTATATATGATTCTATATTCCATATATTCTAAATGAATTGTTTAAAAAATACTTATTAAATTGAGCCGAATTTGTTTCCGTTTAATTAAGCATATTTTCCTTCTCAATTTTACGGGCTTTAAGACTGTCAACTTTGAAGTTCAAAATGGTTAAAAATGTGAGGTTATGTGTGTTAAAAAAATATAATATAATATATAATACAATTTAAAATCATTGATTTGCAAATATGAAGCAAGCTTTCTTCAAATATTCAATTCGTGTAAGTTTCTCATTACTCGGCTCAACTTAATAAAATACTTTTTTCAAACGGGAACCAATTCGGTTCCTCCCTCTTATAATATGTTAGAGTTAGAACTTTAGAACTTGAATTCCGTCAAAACTTGTTTCAACTAGTCAAAACTAGTTTTCACAACCCCTTTTCGTCAAAACTGATTTTAACTGGTTAAAACTAGAATTAACTTCAAGTTTAAATGTCTAAAAGAAAAAAACTAGTTTTTAATGAAATGTACAAGTATTAAAAATAATACCTAAGACGTGCGCGACCGTAGGCGATCGCTGTAGACCAGCTATCAAATAAATTAAGATAACATCGACCGACAAGGCTATCAAATCGAATAAGATGTATATAATAGTTAAAGAAATAGCTGTGGTAGCTACGGTGTGTATAACAAACTATTTATAAAGTTGTCTTTGAGAGCTTATCGTTCAGTTCGTGGCTGTGTACAATGGGCTATTAACAGTTAATTTCTGGCATTTGTCGAGGTCTGAAAGCTTTTCAGTAATATTTAACAATATTTTTAACGCATTTACAATGAGTGAAATTAACTTTCGATAAAATTCTGAAAATCAATTTTTACTAGATATTTATCAGTTTTTACAATTATACATATAGGTATTTCAGATACAACCAAAGTTCTATACCTAAAAAAAGTAAGTTAAAACTAGTTTCAACATCGGGGGCCCTGCAGGTTAATATTCTAGTTTTAACTGTAGTTAAAATCAGTTTTGAAGAAAGGGGGAATTTTGGGTTTTAACTGTTACATATACATTGTCTATATTTTAACCAACGCGTAGTTGATAGATTGTGTAAACTCGTGCTCGTTCGAGCTACTACGCACATATCGCGCACAGTCAGCAGGTCGTTCGGGCGGGCCAGGTGGACACAGTCACCTCTGTGTGTACGCGTGTGTGTGTGTATATATATATATATATATACATCATATTATATGTATTATTATTATATACGATACAAGTCTCAAGCACATGTATATAACGCACATTAATATTATACATATAGGTAGATAGGTGTATACCGCCACCGCCGCCGTCGCCGCTGCAGCTGTTTACAGTTTCCATCTGTCGTCGTCGTCGTCACCGACGTGTATGTGTTTACTCACAAGCAGATCTAAAAACGGTATATATATACACACACAGGCGCCGGCTGCAGCTGCCAACCCTTTTGGCCGTCCTCCGAGTTCATATGTATAAACTATTTTTTAACTACGTGAACGCTCGTGTGGTAACTCTTATACACGCATGCGATTGCTGCTGGTAGGTATATAATATGTGAAAAAGTGGCAATTGTATAGTGAAATACCGGAAACAAAACACTTGGAGTGTGTGTGCGCGAGCTGAACACAATATAATACAATACAAAATATACAATAATATATGTAACATTAAACACGTTTAACACACTTTTGTGTCGCTGCATTTCCCATTTTTATTTATAGACGTGCCGCCCACATGGACACTATATTGGCGCTGAAAAAAAAACAATTTAAATTATTTAAATCAGATCGTAACGATCGCGAGCAGGACAAAAACAAAAACAATAATATGTATTTACCTAGGATAAACACATTAAAATACATTTAAAATTTTTTTTATTAGAGCCGTTAAAAAGATTTAACGTCGATACCATAAATGGCGAGTATTCATCAAATATTTAATTAACACTATATTGTTATATAGAGTTAGATTTATTATCCGATATTTCCGTGATTTATTTAATTCATAATTCCTATACATTCCTAAGCAGGTATAGACAGTAGACACAAGTAATATACTGTGCGGTATCACGCAGAAATGTTATGTGGGGTTATATAAGTTGTAGGTATAAACGATAAACCATTAACCACTATAGATGACCAAAAAAAATAATATATATTGATGTTTACTGTATAATGCCATCGGAGAAGGAAACAAATGTTAGCAGAGATAAACAAATATCCTTTTATTCTTTTATTTAAGTTTTAACCCAATTACATAAATTAGATTTTAATAACAATCTTTCTTAAATAATAAAATGAAAAACAAAAAATATAATTTTAATCCACGTGGGTAAAAATAAAGCCACCAAATATCAAATACGTGCAGGTTAAAATTATGTCTTGCAATCATAATAACAATTTAATTTTATGTAGGTAACCATAGTGACAATCATTCATATAAAAAAATAAATACTAATTTATATCATCCTTTTGACTATTAATTATAATCTGTAACCAACACCTACCATTTATAAACAAAAAAACATTTTTGATTTCTATCTTGAATCTCAACATCCTTGAGTAAAAACTTTCATAAAATGTAAATTTTGGAAATTCATTTCTTAGTTCACCAATACTAAAGGTACGCTCAAAATAACATATCTCTATAGGTATCATAGTTTAGGCTCTACGTTGACCATTAAGTCAGTCAGGACACGTTCGTTATATATTATATAGATACAAACATTACAAACCTGTAAATACATGTTTAAAAAAAAAAATGTTAAGTGGTAAGCTGTTATCCCGCAAAATGTTTGTCCAATACCCCGCTCATCTATAAACTTAATACTTATAAAGTTATAACTCATAAACTACTCTTCCTAAATTCGATTTTTATGTACGAAATACTGAGAAAAATATTCTGCTATCGAGATTAAATTAAAAAAGGTTAAATGAAAACTACTTATGTTGCCATTGAAAAAAGTAAAAAACTTAAAAATATAATTTTTTTTAAAACACGTATTGTTCGGTATAATGACTTGAAGCTACGTAAAAAAATATTTTCAAAAACGTTAATACATTTTGAAATAGTGAGCGGGGGTGATTAAAAGAATCACTCTGTATGCACACGTTCAAAATCAATTTGTTTCCTCGATCTACATTTTTTTTATGAAACGCAACAAATATAATATGCTAACTGTGCGAAAAGTCGTCGCGATGGTTAAACATAATATAATAACGGTATATACGCGTATAATTTATACATTATATTATTGTGTACTTTATATTATTGCGTTTCTCGTTCGTTCATGCAGTTCTAGTAGGTACAGTACCTACCTGCCTACATTATAAACGAAACGTTGTACGTGCGTTTACTGTACAACGAATTAGATTTTATGATATTATTATTATTATTATTATTATTGACGGTGGCGTTAACCGCGCGGCGGCGAGTAGACATAATACTATCATCACAAGTCGTCACGAACGAGATAACTTTGAACTCATGTATCGCCACCGCCTAGTTTTACAGGGTGATTTTTCAAACACGTCCGCTCCCGTTTACGAATATAATGTACCTACTCGTTAATAGACGGTTGAGCTAAATAAATATTATTGCATTGTACTGGTCACTGGAAGTCAATCTTCCAAGACAAAATTTCCTGCAAAAATGTATCATATATTTTTTTTTACAGTTCCGGCAAAGCAAGTAGTTGCAGTGTCGAGTGCCTAACAATTTAGCAACTCTCCATGAAATCCAAGTCCAACACGCCCTGTAAGTAGTGTTGTTTCTCTTTCCTAAAATTAACAAAATCAGTTCACCCTGCGAGGCGTAAACATTTTTCTTGTAAGGCTGTGAGGAGTGTTTTTGAGCAAAAAAATATTTCAAGTGCATTTCCCTTAAATATTTTCAATCCTTTATATCAGGGGTGGCCCAACTGGCGGCCCGCGAGCTTTTTTTATCTAACCCGGGCTGTATTTTCAAATTACACAATACAATTTTAAAGTTTATCGTCTATCTCTATACTCTATAATCTATTCAACACCAATTAAAATGTAAATTTTGAATGACCTTTTTTTGTTTTCTATACTCTGGCCCTCTAGATTTTAATTTTCTAAAAATGTTCCCTCTAGTAACTTTCCGTTGCCCATCATCCCTGCTTCATAATATAGTAAAGCGGTAGAGTGAAACCACCGTGGCTTGTTGAATAAGTATATTTAATTAATGATAATTTAAGGGGGTCTCTAATTTTATAGTTTAGGTGACTTATAAATTGAATCCCAGAGGGCAATGCCATATTACGAGACTATGGATTGTTTTGAAACTTGGTATAATTTTAAGTTTATCAGTCGGGCTGTTTTTTAGAGTCTTAAAGATTTTTTTATTTCACAAAGTGTGAAAAAGACACCGGGTCGCTTCAATGTTTTTAATCCTTTGGAATATAGTAAAATGGTAGAGTGAAACCTTGGCTTGTCGAATAAGTACTAATTACCTATCTTAATTAATGACTTTAATAGCTTAGGTATGCGTCTTATAAGCACAACAGAGAGGAATTCCATATTACGAGACTATGGATTGTATTGAAACTCTATATGCTATAATTTTAAGTTTATTACTTGGAATGATTTTTAGAGTTTTGAATATTTTTTTCATTTTTCATCAAATGTGAAAAATATGAGTTTCCATTTCACGAAACAGGAAATTTTTCATAAAAATGATAAATCTGGTGAATACCTATAACCTATTCACCAACTAATACCCATAACCTTCTACCTACGTACCAGTAACTATTTGTATAGATTATATTTTACGGTCAAACTTGCAATTTGCATGTTTATCGGACTCGTTATTAATGTCCCATAATAATACAATTATATTATTACGACGACTGTTCGATGTGATTTCGAAGGTATTTTTTGGTTGTTTTCGTCGACGCCTACGACGCGTTGCATCTCTATCACATATTTATATTATTATAGTCGTATAATAGCCGAAGTTGCTGAGTTTAGACCGTTTCGTTAATTCATGCAAATATAACATTTACCTGCACCAATGATGCACAAGGTGTAACAGGAGGACCCTGCAAATGAATTAACTTTTGTTCTAACCCATATTTGTAAATATTTTTTTCTATAATCTAATTAATCCGGGCGCTACGCGTATAACAATTTTTTTATTTTTGTTTTTTAATATTGAAAATAAAAAAAAATAAAAAACTAAAATCTGGTTTATGAAAAATGCTTGATTCAAGTGACTGATTTTTTTTGTTTTTAAAATGTCAATTTTTTTTTTGAGTGACTCAATTATTTTAAAAGTGATAACTTAAAAAAAATATTTAGACTTGAACAAGTACCTACCTTTTTGAAAAATATCATAAGATACTACATAATAATATGTAGACATAAATATATGTTTTTACAATCAAAGTTTTTCTAAAAACCAAATTTACAATTGGCTATTTTGAATTTTTTCAAAATAATGTAAGTACTTATATTAGATTTTAAATGTTTTAAATTTAAAAAATAAAAATGAAAAACGTCAAAATTATCTAAGTGTAGCTCAAGCGTCTGTAAATGATATAAAAAAATAATTTTAAAATATTGTTTAAAATATAATAGTTATTTTATTTGTCAGGTTTTCCTGTTATACTCTATACACTCTATTGTCGAATAAAGTTTAAATATTTACATAATATATCTATATACTATATGCGATTCGTCACGGTAATTTTTATTATAGTCTAGAACGCTCGAACAAATCAAATTAGGGCCGTACAATTTGACGACCGTTTAGTCGTTATAGTCGTTACTCGTTACTTCTAGTGTAAAAATAACGCATAATAATTATTACAACAATAATATTGTTATTGTTATTGTTAAACGGCTTCGGTTAATAGGCTTAAGTAGTCTTCTTGCTGGCTGGTTTTAAATAAGTGGCCATGATTGGCCTTTGAAATGGGAGAGGGGGGAGTTATAAATAAATAAAAATAGTACATTTATTGGGGAACAAATGTCAATGATGGGAAGGGAGTTAAACACCCAAAATCCCCCTGCAGGATATGTCACTGATTACGAGTAAAGACAATAATATTATTGAAATATTATATTCAGACGAAAATTGTACATTATAGTTTTATATTATATTTGAAGTAGCTTATAACTTCTGAACGTTAATCGATTTTTACTCGAGGTGACTGACTTGCTACAGGCACTCTAACATGGTTTTTAACTTAAAACATTTTGATATATAACACGAAAAAGCACCGACGATGTGACTGATAGTATTCACCATTGCAAACATATTGATGTCATATTATAAGTATTTAACAGTATTCATCACTGAACAAATTACATTATTTTATTTATAACTTATATTACTGTATTTCTAATTCTGTAAAAGGTAAATCACCTTATTATTTTATTGTTAATATTAGTATTACATATAAATTCGAATATTGACTAATTTAAGAATCTCTCAGTCCTGACACTAGCTTTTGCTTAAAGGAGGTGAGCAAACTTATAATCTCGTATGTTAATCGAAATTAAGTAACCGTTTGCTCGAAAATATATGGGTACAAATAATAATTATGATTAAATTATGCCATTGACTTAAGATTTAAATTCAGCAGTTCTCTGGACCTTAGCTGTCATATCGATACGACATGTTGCAAGGCGTTGATAATACTCTTCGGTTCGTCATGAGACTGACTAAAGGTTCTTTCAAAAATAACACAGTGAAGTCGTTGTATTGTGCCTTAGTGAAACACATTTTGGAGTACAGTTCATACGCCTACTGTATATGGTTCTATTCAGCTTGAAAGAATCCAATGTACATTTTTTAAGTGTGCAAGTTTCATAGGCAACTTCTATAGCACTCTAATAAATCTCCAATTTCTAAAAGCGGTATATGCATATCAAGTAAAATTTAATTATTGTCCGTTAATTTGTCTATTTATCATATTCGTCTAATACTGTATCAATGGCATTCAATGTTCCGGTGACAGATTGCTCTGCAGTTGGTTATAGACTTACATCGGTGATGACTGCCTTGTCAGACACTCCAACACGATTTTTGTTTCGACATTTTTTTACATACGAAAAGTGCTGGTCAGACGTCGGGGGGGGGGGGGGGGGGGCGTAGTTCAAGTTACCCGTCAAGTTACCCATTCACTCTGTTCACGACTGAATGCTAGACACTCAACCTCCAAAGCGCTAAACATTATCACAAATCCTTATCACCAAATCTCAATCACTCCGACTTTACCATAGAGACCTACTCACTCTCAGCGAATCATACGGACCCATCTAACTTCCCACTAAACCGGAGAAATTGTAAGTTTCTACAAGAGAGTAACAGATTAAACACAATAGTTTAAACTAATTATAATATATTATCACTAAGATTAACCATGTTATTCAACTACGAATTATTTTATATTTATAACAAAAAGTGGATTTAAATTATCTGTTTTTATCTATCGATAAATTTTGTTATCTCTAGTAGCTTTATAAATATTTTAAGTGTTTTCTACATGGATCTTACCTGGATAAAATTTTGGTTATCTTTGCACAACACTGGTCGTACCTACACATTTGTACTCATACAACTAATTAATAATTACTTGTTCGAAATTTTTATTTGTAAATTCTAAGTACTCCAAAAATATTTTGCTTCAGAAAATGTATAGTAAAAAATATAGCGTCGTCATTCAAAAAAGTAAAAACTCAATAAATTATAACAATACAATACAGGTAATACACCAAACTGTAAAAAATATATTTTTTCTCGAAAATATTGTTTTAGCAATCACGTCAAATTAGGGTAAAAACAATATTTCAAAAAAGTTTACACTATTCGAAATAATGATAGTAGTGTATGACATATTATATAGACGACACTTAAATGAATCACCTTGCACACACATCGCAACAACGATAGTTGCAACGACCTTGCATTAGGTATATACGATTATAATATATTATTCTGGTTAATCAAATTTAATGTCTGTTATACGTTGACGAGTTATTGTTATTTAGGCATGAATATTGTGTTATATGGGTGATTTCGACTCGTTACGGTGCGAGCTGGCGACGACCGGACATCTGGTAATTATTTCGTCCGTTATATTATACTGTATTATGACCTATAATTTCGTAAGAATACCATACCTACTCTCGGTTCACCGATTCACCTCGAAAGCCAAAATATATTATCTTAGTCGAAACGTTTTTGTGCTACGACATTCGTGATGTATAATATTCTACGGAGTGCTTAGACACGTATACCAAAACGTAATAAACAAATAAATAATATGAAACACATATATAAAGAAAATGAACTTAACTGCATGGTAATTATAATTAACTATAAAAAGTTAAAAGCTACTTTATTATTATTACTACCTTAGTTATTATTTTTCGCTATTATTATTTTGAAATGTATATTTAATTATCTTATGTATATCTTATATTATAATTGTTGGGCACTAGTTTACACTAGATACTAGAAGATAATAATAAATACAAATTATTTACTAGGCAGTTAAGTTAAAAAATTAATTTTTAACTAAATTCTAACTTCTTGACAAGTTAATGCCTACCTTTAAGGTTTATTATACCGTAATGTGGCGGTACATTAATATCGATACTTTAATATTGGAGTTAATACCGGTATAAAAGCCGCGGCAGGAGGTATTTTCCGCCTTTCGATGTTTCGGTATTTCGGTATTTATTTCAACACAAATTACGCGTTGTAAACTATCGTCAGTCGTCACTT